CCTAGCACGTCAACATTCAAAACCTTCAGATGGCTGGCCGGAAAAGAGGAGCTGATTGAGTGCAATATAATATATATATATATGTTTTTTTTACAATTCTTATTCTTATTCGCACACTTATTTTTTTCAGGATAATATTCTTTTTCGGAATCTAGACTCTAGATTTTAAAACCAACCCCCGAAAGTAGAGTCTAATTTCTTATGTAATGAAATGTCTTAACACAATTACCAGCCGTAGGCTTGGGAATTGAGATCTGGATCCAGCTGCCAGGCTTGTTGATGCCAACCCCCCAAATCTTGGGGCCCAACTCCAGAAGAGGACGTGTTAAGTGGCCAAAAGAAGATCCACGCTTGAGAAAGTTGGGGCTGAAGAGCCAGCCTGATTTCCCATATTCACTAGGCGCTGTTGTGTGGGCAAAAGTTCAGTGTGCTCCGCTCCAGATCATCATGCGACAGGGGACAAAATTTTGGAGTCAGTCATAGGGCATGGCCAGACAATGAGGGCTGCCACGTGCTGGGTGGTTGGTGGCGATGTGGGAACGAGCACATGAGTGTGCAAGTACAGGTTGCGCAAAGCTCAAGCTGCATTCCTGTGCTAGCAGCTAGCACTCTGATCATCATAGCAGTGGACTCAATGGCAACAAAGTTTGCTGCCATCCCAATTGTTCGATGGGAGCAGGTGATGTCAGTGCCTTGGTCTTTGAGAGCTGGCAATGTTTTTAGTCGAAGGTCATTTGGCATGGTCACGCAGTTCATAACTACCAGAACTTGACAACACAGCTTGGTTCCCTGGCCTTGTTGGCCTTCTTGGCATAGGCATGCGCCTGCGCAACTGTATTCCTTGTCAAGGCACGCGCAACCCCTTGTTGAAACGTCAACATGAACAAAAACACGCTGAGCGCTCCCTTGCACTCTCATTCATGCGGTCTTCCAGCATTCCCAATTTTCCTGCTTCCTTTTGGTCGGTCCTTGCTGTTGAATAGGTGAGTTTTGTCAACATCAGCGCCACCTCCTCGAAGCAAAGTTGCAATTGGATCTTGCTGGCGTTTGGCATGGACGACACAAACTTGTCTCGGATCACCACCATCACCACCACCGCATTACTACCATCACTACTATCACCACAACCACGACCGTCATCACCACCACCATCGCCCACCACCACCACCGCCACCGCCACTGCTATCACCACCTTCATCTCCACCACCATCACTACCGCCACCGCCACCGCAACCACCGCGACCACCACCACCTTCACACCACCATCATCACCACCATCACCTTTCTTTGGAACCCAATGCATCTAGATCTCTAGACCTTCTGCTTCTACACCTCTGAACCTTAGACCTTTAGACACACTGTTTGGGGTCTTTTGCCGGGATTATTGCGTGATGTACGGTGCATTGATCGAAACAACCTGCATGGCCTGTATGCCACATTGACATGAGATTGTTTTGTTGTGTTCACTGCAGCTCTGTCTAGCCGGCTTCCATGACCTCACGGCCGTGGATGCCATTATATCCCAATATGTACCAATTCATTCATTTGCAGAACTGTGCAGGGAAATCCCAGACATTCGGATCTTTTTATTGCCAGCCGCTGGGCGGATCTGCTTGGAAGTTAAACCGCTTGGAGCGCCGACCTTCGTTCCGCTTCCTGAGGAAGTTGCTGATCCAGAGCAAGAAGGGTGAAGTTCCAGCACTCAGAAGTTCCGACACTTGTCGACCGATCCGTGAGACCCGTCAGATCCCAAATGGGTACTACCTTAGGAAATGCATCAAGGGTGGTGGGACATGGAGGTGGTCTAAGGTAGTGGTCATGATCCAAATAAGTGTTTTGTTTTGGGGGGGGGGGAAGCTTTCGAGCTTGCAACTGCCCTGTCAATGGATACTATGGATACTATAGACTATAGAGACATATATACGATCAGCTGTTTGTTGGCTTCATGGAGGGGGTTTCGGAAGTCCACCGAACCTGGAGAGTCTCCCGAGTTCGGTGCGGAGCTCGGGAGTCGCTTTGCTTGGCCAAATGGCTGAGTACTTTTGCCCCAAATGTACCCATGGTTGTCGCGGGGGGTGGTGGTTTGTGCAAACCCATTGGGTTTTCAGAGGCTCTTTTTAGACGTGGATGTTTGGTCAGGCAGTCGAATGAAGCAGCCCTGGGCAGCTCCATTCCGCGGGTATTGGGTGGCTAGATCAACTTGAACTACAATATTTTCCACCTCAATGTGCAGTGAAGCGGCTTTGGGGGTCACACAAAGGGGCCAGGTGGTGTATGACCGCCTTATTCACTCAATCCTCTTGAGCCAGGTGCTGCATGACTGCAGCCGTTGTGCACGAAGGATTTTTTTGCTGAGTGTTTGCCGAAGGCTGATGAGCTAAACGTTTTCAAGCTACTGTGCACCCTTCCCGCTAATGATTCATGATCCAACTGGAAGAGTGACTCGAGGTCTCAAAATTCTCGACTAGCGCCCTATAGAGTCGGGTTCCCGGTAAGCATGTCAAAATTCACACATAAGGACTTGCAAAGGTATTCAAAAGGAAAACAACCGTTTTTGTTTTTTTGAACACATTATAATACTATAGATAAAATATATATTCCGCCTGCCACACGCTTTTGGCCAATTCTTTTTTTTCCAACGGCTCGTAGTGCGGCGGCGATTCCGCCATGAGGCTACTTGGTGCGTGAAAGCGTCTAGCCTGTGCACTGTAGCCAGTTGAGGTTGAGTGATTCATCCGCAACTCTGTAAGGACAGCGGCGATGGTAATGGAGTAGGATTTAGCTGCTTGCTGTGGCATGTGTTATACGGATTGATTTATATGGATTTCTCATTGTTTTGACCTTTGCAGCTCCACACCCGAAAACTAAAGCTGATCTCCTGATGGGTTCACTTGAGAAGACTATACCCTCCCGACACCTTTTTCAGTACTGAACTGAGGGTCCGTAATTTCGATACGAACTAGATTTGGAGGTTGTTGCTATCTATTTGTGGACCTCTATGTAATTCCTAGACTATTCCATTCCACCATACCCAAAATACAACGGTTGGCTGATTGTGAAATTGTGAGACGTCTTGCTAACACTCCGTGGGTGGTGCGACTTGACTGGGAAGGCGGGTGGTTGGGTGGTTGATCCCCTCCTCCTACTACTACTACGACGACTACTACTACTACTACGACTACTATAGATACCTTAGGCTCCAGCCACCCTCATTTCTTGCAGTTGTCGGATTTATATCTCCTTGGCAAACTTTCATGCCCACAAGCATTCGGCAACTTCCAGGACTCCTCCAGACCGGACTTGTCATGCGCAAGATGGGAACTGACACCCTGCGCCAGAACTGGGAACGGCACCCTGTTTTTCCATGCTAAACAGACCAAGCTACTCGTAGGTCCGTCTTTATTGTGTAATTTCCGTCAAAGTTGGTAAAGGAAACGCGGCGACATGGGGCGACACAAGAAATGAAGCAACAGCAAAGTTCGAGGCTCAATTCGAGGGAACTTGTCCCGTTGTTATCATGTCGAGATGTCAAAAAGCCACTCACATGTACTCATATGTATATATATATATTTATATACATATACACATATACTAATATACTAATACTATACTATACTTTATCACGCTATACTGCTCAAAGTGTTTACCCTTCTGGTTCGGTGCGAACGCACGAAGAGTAGTCATGCGTGTCATGTTTGCCCAGTCACCCTTCCGGTGACTCGATCTATGGAGCGTTATAGAGTCAACATCCTTCCAGTGACTCAAACAAAAAGCATTAGCCCGTTAGAGCGGAACTGGAAGCGCGGGGCGGAACGTGAAGGTTACATCAGATCCTTCTCCTCGCAGCTCCTTGGTGACGAATCACCGGGTTTCGTGCGTGTCTCAGTGTTTGGTGGATGAGTTGGATTTGGACTGGAACACGAGAGAGGATGAGTCATTGGTGGATGAGTGTTCCAATCTCCCATTTGGATGAGCGTTTGGTGGATGAGTCAAGAGTCACCTGCCTGTCCTCCGCTGAGAAATCCGGCGGTGGACGTGCCAGAGGATCACGGGGGGCGAACGTGTCGTGTCAGAGGATCACAGGGTTTTGTGAGTGGTCCGGCGTGGAAGAACGCATCGAACGCATAGTCAATGTCAATATCAAGTTGAAAAGGACACAGCTATTGTTTGTATGTTGTTTGTTCATCACTTCTTCACCTCTGAGTGTCCGCGAGTGTTTTTTTGCTTTTGTCTTCCAACTCGACTCTGTCATGCCTGGAAGGCCAACAGATTTACCTATAACGCTCATTGTTTGTCGTTTCCAATCAAATCTTTACGTCTTGACATCCACAGCAATGGTGCCATTCATTGAAGAAATTCAAATTTAGTGCCTCATGCTTTTGTTGTTTTTTCTTCGCTCCTCCACAAATATTCATCCTCCGAGAGTCTACACTTCTACCCTTGTGGAAGCACTTGTGGACAGACAGACAGAAAACATCTTGTCATTCATTGTGGCATCGTTGTGGATCCACCGAGTGTTGCAGGTCTTGCCATATCATGATATATAACTTAATAAGTCCTGATTGCCACCCCCCAAAATGGAACAGATTCAAACACCTTTTTGACACACCTCAAGAATACCCCAGAAGAATACCCCAGACAGTTTTGACCATCCGGTGGTCCGGTGGTCTGACTCGGTAACCATCCAACGGTGGGAAGGGTCCATGGTAGTTTGGTGGTGCAAGCCTTTGACTGAGGACCTTTGGCTGGTGCAAGCCTTCGAGGGCTCTTGCGCGGGAAAGCCGGGAGCGCGGACACACTCGAGGGAGGTAGGTGTGGTTGGTGTGGTTGAACTGAATGGATCTTTAGTTGGCAGCTAGGGTACCCTTCTTAGAGGAGCATGGTTAACAACTTGCGGTGGTTGTGTCATGGTGGGACAGTAAGCATAAACATCAGTACCACATCATCCATTTGAGACTCCGCAGCCTTTACATGCTTTTGCTATATCAACAGGGATGAACAAGAATTAATATATATATATATATACATATCATATATGGGCTATAATACTTACACACGACTCGGATGGTTCCTCCATGTTCCTCCAAGGAACTCGTTTACCACCTGTGTTAGGAACCAGTTCGGATAAGGAGTGGTTCGACCGAACTCCACAGGTGTGGTTCCTGGGCGGAGGATTGCTGGTGCAATGACCAATGCGAGGCGGGACCGACCGGTGAAACGACTTGAGAGACGAGCTCGACCGACCCCTCGACCATTGATGCTCCCTACATCGGAAAGACCGAACGACCAGGTTCAAGTTCAGATGACCGAACAGTCACGAACAGTGAGATCAGACGCTATTAACCCAGCTCACGCATCGACCAAGGGCCCCCTAGCAGTGAAGGGTGACGCGACATCCAGGAGAGGGGCAACTGCTGCGATGATTACAAGGAACAGTGTCAGCAACAGTGCGAGAAGTGTGGCAGTTCTTTGGCTGCACTCACAGGGGCAAGATGGCCAGTGAATGAACTCCAGTTACCGCTCAGATGAGGAACCACGGTTTCTATGATGGTTTCAGATGGTTCTATAGTTGATAGATGGTTCTAGTTGGAGGAACCACCTGATACTTACTTTGGTGATAGCTGGATCCACTTTTTACAGGTCAATGGCTCCATGAGTTCTAAAAGCTGCGTTCTCCTGTGCAGATGGACTGCATTTTGGACCACTTAAAACTTATTGATAGGGGGGAGTTCGGTATCTTGACTCCAGTGACAGATAAGACTGATTCGCACAAAGGTCCAATGTCGGAAAGTGAAAGATATCTCCCTGAAGCCAATATCCAACTCTGTGTGACCCACCGGTGTCCAACCTGCCATCCACCGGAGCCAAGCCTCGCCTTCGCTCCGTCGTCCCGTCGTCCTCTTCACGTCGCCGGGCCGGTGCTGAGAATATACCTGCGACGAGTGGATCGCATGGGATCCGGCGAAGAACAGCTGCGCCTCACTGAAGAAGGCGGGGGTCGCTGTGGCAGGATGGCCAGCTGGGTCATGGCACCTGGAAGCACTACCCTGGTGGGTTGACATCCCGATGCAGGAGGAATCAGTGAACATTTGATCAGTGGGAAGAACCGGGGTCAACCGGGTTTTGGACCCACAGTCATGTAAGTGACATGGGTTGGGTAGGGGGGTATGGGCATGATGAGCTGAACGGAATTATTTTTTGGAGAGAGAGAGAGTCAAAAAAGGGGGAGGTGGAAGGCAAAGCAAGTGAACTTGCTCAATACAGAGATTTTGCTGAAGAGACTTATGCAAGACTTGCATATGCCTAGAACCCATTTCGCTTCGCGTTTTGCTCCGCCAGGACTGGCTTTGCCAATGCAAAGGCTGCCACTGTGGCGCAGACTTTGATGCCAACCTCCAACTGTTCTCACCAAAGTGGCTCGTCCGTGCTTGTGCTGTGATGGCTGAACCCAGGCTATGTGAAACCCCTATAAGTCAATTCAATGACCTTTAATGAGTCACTTTGAAGGTGGACGGAGGTCACAGATGGTCACAGATTGTCACTATGTCAATTTTTCTCAAGGCTTGGGGCCAACAAACAACTACTCCCAAACTGGGCTCAATTGCCTGTCAAAGAGGGAACTGGGAGGCCAGGGCGGCTAGGGATTGTTTTGCCTGGAGCATCCTTTTTTGCACAGAACTGAGATGACTTGA